GAGGATTCAGTAAGGTAATACAGATAGACACTTAGAACAATGCCTGATATATAGCAAATGCTCCATTGGTGTTAATTATTAGTGTTCTCTGAACAGTTTTGCTTAGTTAGCCAGACCTTAGTACCAATAATTAAATGTTTGGAAAACCAAATAGCATTGAGGTGGAGTATCGGCTTTACGATCCTGGGTGTCTGCACTAGCACACTGTGTAGACGTAATTTTTTCCAGAGGAAGGGATAGTGTGAAATGACTTGGCAATACATAAATAAGCAATCATAAGGCATCTGGCAATAGGGTTCCTGCATCTCCCCCCTCTTTTCTCAGTTTGCAAGACCACCATCTGTGCTGCGAGACCTTGTTTTTGTTCTAAATGCCCCTGAATGCCAATCCTGAGCAAGTGTGGAAAGTGAAATTGTCCTCTTGCACCCGTTTTCCATTTTCTGTGCCTTCTTTCCATTGAGCTCTGGTTCTCTGGGATTCCCCTGCCCACCTGGGCAGCCTCCCGTCATGGCTCGCTCCACCAGGGCCACCGTGCCTTGCCTTCTGCTGTCTCTGAAAACACCCCTCTGGTGTACTAGCTTCCTGCATGTGCTCAGTTAGGCAGATAGGGAATTAGGGGCAGTAAGGCATGGAATTATAAACCACCCTCCCCACATCCTCACCCTGAGGAAATAATACTCCTGAAGAGATAATACTTCAGTCTAAGGTCTGCAGGTTTTGCATACACAGTGTCTTAATAAAGCCTTTGCAACATACCCCTCTGTTTGGAAACCAATCCTTAATGCCAGCTGTGGAGACAATGACACAAGACCAAATTAGGAACATTTGCCATGATGTAGATTCTTATAAGGGACTCCTACAAATGCCTTTCGAATTGAGTTTTTAAAATCCCTTTTATAGCTAATAAACAGTAGGTTTTCAGGGCTGTGTATAACCACATGCCATTGCAGAGTTCTGCAGTGGAGCCAGGGCTCAGAATACCCTCATTAAGAAAGAATTTCTGCAGCAATCATAGCAGTTAATTATGACAGTTTTATAGCCTACATTGTTCCTCTCAAAGTAACAGATTCAGGAGGAGGCCCTTTTTGAGCAGAGTCCATGGAAGAGGTATTTTATGGGTGGAATCATGTGACTTCTTCTACACAATAGTATAAAAATAATTTGCTGGTAGTTTGAAAAATGTTTATAATAAGCTGAAGAGATAGAATATGTTTTTAAAAAAATCATCTACTTGCCTAAAGTAAATGTGGATCTTAAAAAAAACAAAAACCTAAATTATTTTACCCCTAATAATATTGTGAGGATACATTCACTTTCAAATAGCAGTCCTGGGAAAGTGGTTAAGAGCTGCTGACTGCAAATGCTACCTAATTTGATTAAGTGATTTGTATTCTGTATCACAAAGAAATACTACACTTGCTTTCTTTTACTTCATTCCATCTCCAGATAGATTTATGTAATAGAATAAAGCTTATATGAACCTAAAATCTGTTTCTGGAAATTCCCTGCTAATCAAACCTGATAGTGTGTCTGTGGATGTGTGTGTACACAAGTGCATATATGTATCAGATAGAACAGAGAATAAGGGTTACAATATGATTTTTAGCCTCTATCTTCTGGAAGACTGTTCCCTGGTCCTTTCTGAGGGGAATGGAATAATTATAAGGTAGGAACAAAGTTCTGTTTAAGTTTATCCATTTGAGTAAAGAGACATTTAAATATTTGAAATGGAAAAAATAATAATGGGAATGAAAACCAAAGTAAACTCACTGCCATCGAGTCGATTCAGACCCATAGCATCCCCCACGGGGTCTCCAAGGCAGTAAATCTTTACAAAAGTAGATTGCCTGGTCTTCTCTCCATGGAGCAGCTGGTAGGTTTGGGCTACCAAGCTTCTGGTTAGCAGTCAAATGTGTTAGGCACTGCGCCACCAGAGCTCCAACAATGGGATGGGTGGTAGATAAGTACCCCCTGAGCCCCCTTCCTTTGTAATATGTCTGTCACATCACAAATCTTTGTATTTAACATCAAGACAGAAAAGAAGGTGTGATAGGTAGCTTCCAAAATGGCTCCCAAAGATGCCACCCATCCAACTCCTAGTATTCACACCCTTATATGGACCTAGTTGGTTGCTGCCAATGAATGGAATATGTAGAAGTGATGTCACTTCTGAGATTAAAGACTGCAGCTCTGTCTTGGATGCTTTTACTCTCTTGAGGATCACCTGCCCTGGGGGAAGCCACTGCCCTATCCCGAGGCACCCCTGGGAGAGAGCTTAGAAGTGATCGACTCCAGTCAAGGAAGTCTTGAGATGACAGCAGCCCCTACCACTCTCTACTGCAGGCTTGTAAGAGACTCTGAGCCAACTCATCCAGCTAAGCCCCTCCTAGATCCCTGACCCACTGAAGCTGTGAGATAATAAATGCTATTTCCAGCCATAAGTTTTGGGGTAGTATTAACAATAAATATAGAAATTTAGTGATTTGAGAAAAATGAAAAGAAGTATATTATCCTTGTTGTTGTTGTTGTTGTTATGTGCCGTCGAGTCAGCCCTGACTCATAGCGACCCCTCCTTGGGTTTCCGTGGCAGTATCACTACGGAAGTAGGATTGCTCAACCTTCCTTCTGAGGAGTGGCTGGTGGATTTGAACCACCAGCCTTCTGGTTAGCTGTCAAATGCCTTCGGCACTACACCACCAGAGGGATATCATAATAATGTGTAGAGTCATTTATATAATACAGAAAATAATTTTTAGTACTACATGCTTTAAACAAGGATATTTCAATTTGGGGAAATAATTTGTTGATTTTTATTTCTTTGTTTTCTTGTTTTTTAAACTTCTCCCCCCTCACTGTAACATTAAAAAAGACCAACTTTGCCTCAAGACTGGAGATTTTCCATGATTCATACCCATCCCTCTTGTGTGAGTCTGAAAATTAATCACTGGGCTCCAGCTGAGTACCACTGGTGAGCAGACACGCAGGTTCCTTACAGTCCGTCTCAGGTTTGTCTAGGAAGGAGGAGGTCCTGGCTAGTGAACAATCGGCAGTCTTTCAAATCAAAATCCCTTGCTCTAGAAAAGTTAAAGATGTGAAATATCACTCAATTAAATTTTACTTACATTCAAAGTCTCATTTTGAAGGGAAAAAAATGGCGACTTTGTAGGAACCCAGGATTTGTAGGTAGAAATACCAGGACTCCAATCCCAGCTGTGCCACTTGCTGGGCTGGCTCATTTTAGGCATGTTACTTAAACTCTCCAAGTCTCAGTTTCCTTATTTGTGAAATTGGGATGATAATACCTTTCCCATTAGTTATTGTGGGGATTAACCCGCCAACCACTCCATGAAAGGAAGACTAGGCAATCTGCTCTTGTAAAGATTTACTGCCTCACAAACCCAAAGGGGGTCACTGTGAGTTGGAATTGACTCCATGGCAGTGAGTTTGGTTTTTGGTTTATATGTATCATACGAGGCACTAGTAACATCTTAATGGTTGGTGGTTGATATACTTTTAATACCCTCTCCACCATCATAGCCATCAGTGCTGGTTAAGAAAAACACAAGTAGAAATGCTTCAAGATACCCTATACCCAAACTAAAAGTCATTATTGTTTCCTAGGAAGACAGCAGGATTCACTTCTGGACTTTTTCAGATATGTTACCAAATTTGTTGAGGTTGTACACATGATTAAACCTCATACCCGTGTAGGCAAATAGGGAATAGTACCTCTGTCACTTACCTGATACAGGTACTGTTTGAAGAAATAGAGGTGAAGGGTTGGGTGAGAGACACATGCTTTAATTCAGTAAAAGTTCTAGGAAGACTGACCCAGTACCTTCAGAATAGAATTTATTATAAAATGTTTAGGCTGAAAGATTGCTTATTTCCTTTTCTTTCCTAACAGATTAGTCTATATGATTATTTACTGCTATATACAACCAAAAAGTTTCAGTCCACTTGGCTCACAGTGGATTTTATGATAGAGATTCATGTAGGACTTCTGGCTTTACTTCCTGCATTGAAAAGCTGAAGGGATATGGAAATGAATTCTAGCGCTGCAATGAAGAGTTTTATTCCCATTTGCTTCTGGGTAAGCAATAGTGACAACAAAAGACCTTTAATAGATTAGTCTATGTATTGAGTTATAATCCTTTGGTCTTAAGTTAGAAATGTTGCTTTACCATGTCATGACCTATGCTTTAGGCAATAATGGTTAAGAATGGGGACTCTGGAGTTCAGCTTTCTTAAACTCTCTCTAGTTTCTTCATCTGGAGGAAAATGTGGATAATAATAGTACCTCTCATTCCCATAGGACTGTTATGAGGATTAAATGAGATGATCCATGAAAGAAACAGATCTATGCCTGGCAGTATAAGTGCTCCTTAAGTAGTAGCTTCTGCAATTGTTATCACCGCTACTCTGCCAGAACCTATTTTGTCAGAAGCAATGGGAATTCTGTGATAAAGATGCTGTGTTAAAATCATCATTTGATAATTAAAATAAGTAAGTCAATGAATTAAAACAAACAAATAAAAAACCTTGCTAGCATTACTCTTACGTCACAGGCAGTGTGCAGTATCAGATATGAGCAAGAAGTTGACAGTCTCCTGGGGTAAACTGATGTGCTACCAATCTTGTTTGTGTTGTTAGATGCCATTGAGTCCATGTCTGGCTCATAACATCCCCAAGTGACAGAGAAGAACTCCATAGGATTCTGCGGCTGCCATCTTCCTAGAAGCAAATCACCGGATATTTCTCCCACAGAGCTTCTGGGTGGTTTGCACCACTACCGGCCTTTCAGTTAGCAGCTGAGCGCTCAACTGTTGTGCACCCAGGGTTTCTTGCAAACAGCCTTAGTATACGAATAATAGAATTTGGACAGAGATCTATGGAATTCAGAAGAGTTTTGCTGGAGATTGTTGAAGATATCACAGAGTAATTAACATTTGAATTGAGTCTTTAGAGAGAAGGATTTTGCCATTTAGAAGAGCAGGGGAAAGGGGATCCTGGCAAAGGGAAAACATCCTCTACAAGCAGAATGACTGGAGGGAAGAAGTATGAAGAAGGCAAGTAGTAGGAGTCAGGGTGGAGGCCTCAGATGTAAACTGGTGCCATGTTGTCAGGACCCTCTCAGCCGTGGAGGAAGTAGGAAATTCATTGAACTTGTTAAAGGCATTTAATTAAGGGAGTGTCATGATCATGTTTGGGTTTTGTTAAACTAATTTTGAGAGCAGCAATATAACATTGTACACAAGGAACAATCAATTAGGAGATTGTGGTCCTAGGTTGTTGACATGATGAGAGTTTGAGCACAAGCATTAGTAAGGGAAGGAGTTGTGAAGCTTTTAGAGGACAGATGAAAAGGGCTTGGAGCAGAAGTGTGGTCAGACAAGCAGCATGTGTGGTAATGACTTTTGTTTTTCACTCTTCTGCTCTTCCACTCAATGTATTTCAGACTTGAAAGAGAGATGGGACGTTTTTTGTTGTTCTTATGAGCAAAGAAAATGATAGCAGTTGTACTAGGAATGATTAACAGTAGTTGTTAATCACAGTAAATTATTTCTTTGTACTCTCAACTAAGAAAATAGGCAAGTTATATAAAAGCTAAAGGTTTTGTGTTTATATCTAGTTTTCTGTGCAACCCACTCTTTTTTTGGTAATGGAGACCTTGGTAGACATTGCAAAACAGGCAATGAACTAAAAACTTCAAACAATTAAAAGTCTTGTGTCAGAGATTAATCAAAATATATTGATGGGGCGAAGGAGAGATTCACAGATTATACTAGGTTTCTACGAGAGCTGTGTGCTGGCAAGTTATTTATTTGGAATGAGGTTCCTCTGTTCAGAATAGGAGCTCTGGTGGCATAGTTACTAAGGCATTTGACTGCTAACCAGGAAGCTGGCAGTTCAAACCCACCAGCCAGTCCTCAGAAGGAAGGTTGGGCAATGTACTTCCATTGAGGTACTGCCTCAGAAACCCAAGGAGGGGTTGCTGTGAGTTGAATCCACTCGATGGCAGTGAGTTTGGTTTTTCTGGTTGTTCAGAATATTCATAGTCATCTGCATGAACAAAATCCAAAATGCTTCTTAAAGAATGTAATATGAATGTGTATGT